CAGCCGAAGGAGACCAAGCGGCTCTGCCGATCTGAAGGCATATGCTTCGGCTCGACTCAGCCGAAGTGGGGCGAACGCCAAAGGCCGGCCTTTTTCCCCACAAATGACAGCTGGAATAACACCTATTTTATGTTTGTTACATGTTCCCATTTACATAGCATAAGCTAAAAATAAATGTTAAAAAATGCTTCTTGCAGCTTAAATTGCTTTTACCTGGGTTAGGGTTTTAAGGGTTAAAATTTCTTCTTGCTTCTATTTCTTTGAAATGTTAGGGGGGCTGTGAGGGGTGAGAGGTTTGAGGTTCCGTGTCCATTGTATGTTAATAAAGCTGATCAGATAACCACAATCCTCAAATTTCAGTCTCAAGTCTTTCCATTAGGACAGACCACTGTGAAAGGGCTAAGAAAAAACGGGAATCAGCCGAAGCGGGGCAAACGGCATGCCGATGGCTGGCCTTTCACTCCACAAAAGACAGCTGGGGGGAGCTATCCGTGATCTCACGGCTGGCTCCACCCAGTTGTAATGACAGATCAGCACCCCCAAATGACCTGGGGACGCTGAACTGTCATTAAACAATAACAACTGGGCAGAGCCGGCCTTGACGTCACAGCCAGCTCTGTCCAGTTGTTATTCATTGTCCGGGACCTGCTAGAAGACTTGCAGCATTTTGATCGCACCGGACTGCAGGCACAATATGCCTTACGATTCCGTGCGGGCGATCGCATTTAGCCCAGAGAGCGTGGCTATGCTGCCATTCACTTCAATGGCCCGCCACGCCCCCTCCTGCCCCACAAAAAAGTGAGCCGTCCGGAATGCAATGCAGTGCGTTCCGGCCAGAATTTGACCTGAACTCACTGCATATGGTGTGAACTAACCCTTATTGTCCAAACAGTAGACTGCGGGTAGATCAGAAACCAAGTGACATTGCTTACCTGAGGTCGCTGTACTATCTGCCATTGTTTCCTGGATAAAAAGACAGAGAGGTGACATACGAAACTATAAGTTGCAACAGTGTGACAGGGCTTATAAAATCACAAGAGTGGCTGAGCAGAATAACAAAGTCTTTGGCAAACAAAACAGTTTGCACATATGTATTTCAACTGTGTTTTATTGTAAGTTTTTTTTCAATTAGAGTTTGGCTTTATTAAAAGCAAAAGGCTAATGAAGCAGAACATATGGTCAGGTAGTATAATAATCACAGTACAATCAGTTGTGCCAAGACTTGTGCGAAAGAGAACATTGTCTGCTTAAGAATGGAGCATTGTTTATCAAAGAAAACAGAAAAACAAAGGTAGCAATTAGCGTACGGGGAAATTAAGGATATATGGTGAAGGATGCCCATCAAACGCTGCATTTGTTCTTAAGCATGTAGTACATTTTTTTTTATTTCCTAGCATGCTAAATCAGACAGGAAAATATTCCTTCTGTGCTGTGGATTGAACAAAAGATGTATCTAACTTGACCCTATGGTTTTGCTCGACATGCTGTAGATAAGGTGTGTTTCCACTTTTGCAGCCAAATTGGGACAGCACTTACTTTAAATTTGTAATATGTTCTCATTCACATAGCATAACTTTAGAAAATATATTTACATTTCGCATCTTCCCTTTTTACATAATCTTTTCTAAAAACGCCAGGACTGAAAAATATTATTCAACACCTTCTTTCTATGTCATGTCTATGAGGGGGCTAGGGAGTTGTGTTTGCCATAATTAACATTGTCTGTACTGGCTGACATATGTCCATCATTAGTTGTAAATTACGTGTGCAGGGCTGTGTGTCCCAACAAAGGGTCAAATATCTCAAGGCTTGGATGTTTATTGTATATATTTATATTGTATGCTAATGCACTGCCTCTCAGCCGGACTCTTGGTTTGCCCTTTATCTGCACATTGCCATCTTGTCTATGCCCATAGTATCCTATATATAATCCTGCTCCAAAGAAACAATTAAAAAGGCAAGAAATATTTAGGGTAAGTGCATTTTAATTGCCCACCTATTTCCCCCCTATGTAGAGTTAAGGAGAGCATCGTGTATTTAGGGGTCTATTCACTAAGCTGCCGAAGGATCTAGCCGTAGCTTCGGCTGATCCTTCGGCTAGCTTCGGCCCCAGGACCCCTTCGGTTCAGTAGAACCAAAGGGCTGCTGTACGGGCTATTCACTATAGCCCGTACAGCTCCCGAAGTTGGCCGAGCGGCTCAGTCGAGCCGAAGGCATATGCCTCGGCTCGGCTGAGCCGAGGGGAAAGCCGAAGCTGGCCAAGCTTCTGACAGCTGGGCGGAGCCAGCCGTCATCTTACGGCTGGCTTCGGCCACTTGCAAAAAGATCAGCGTCCCTGGTTACCAGCTAACGCTGTCATTACACACTGAGAACCCGGCCGGGCCACTATGATATCACAGCTGCCTCTCCATGTTCTCAGTGTGTAATGACAGATGGCGTTCCTGGTCATCTGTCATTACTCTCCCGGACGCTCTGGGAGTCTAATACGGCTCCCGGCCATCCGGGAGAGAAACACTTTCTCCCAGAAGGGTTCACTCTGCTCGTAAAGTAAACCTTTTCCTGCTCTTTTTTTTTTCTGACATCGGAGCCGTTGGCTGCCGTCAGAATAATAATTAAAAAAAATTAAAATCACCACAGGAATCCATAGCTAGATTCCTATTGGCTATTTCAATTTGCAATAGCCAATAACAAACTAGCTATTGCACCCGCCCACTGCTGCTGTCAATCAGCAGAGGGGGACCTGCAGTTCTCCATCGGGTCCCCCTCTGGTGATTGACAGCATCAGAGGGCAGGTGCAATAGCTGGTTTGCTATTGGCTATTGCAAAGTGAAATAGCCAATAGAAATCTAGCTATGCATTCCTATGGTGGGTTTTTTTTTGACGGCACCATAACCGCCCTGCTAATAGAAAACAGTTGGGCGGAGCTAGCTGTCACTTTTCTATTTTTTCTTTTCTACTTTTTTAACTATTTTCCTATTCTGCTTGGTACCACAGAGGTACCGGGCAGAATAGCTGCTGTTCGGCATCTATGAGAATAGGCCGAACAGCAGCGAGTAGCCTGCCAGAGGTTCGGCTCAGCCGATCCAGATGTTGGATCGGCTGAGTCGAACTCCTTCTGCACTTCGGGTCGGCCGAACATGCTGAGCATGTTCGGCCGACCCGAAGCCACACGAAGCCACCCGATGTATGGCTGATTTCAGCCGATAACCGGCTGAAATCAGCCGTACAAGCCTGGAGTGAATAGCCGAACAGCGTTCTGCTCACTTCAGGTGGGTTATTCACTCGGCTGCCTCAACAGCTTAGTGAATAGACCCCTTAATGTTTACCATTATTACCCCTGTCTGCACTGTGCTGGAAGATCGATTTATTAGCTGTAAACTAAATGTTCACAATGTCTGCCCTCTGGAAGAGTTAAAGATCTCGAGGCTTGTGTTCTGCATTGTATGTTAATGAGGGGACTATGTCCCAAGCTTGTCCCTCTAAAATTGATCAGAGTAGCTTGCAGTCCTGTGTATATTACTGCAGCAAAAAACAATTGGAAAGGTAAGAAATATTTTATTAATATTATTTTTGGATATGCTGTGTGAATAGAAACATATAAGAAACATATACAGGGTTATTCACGAAAGGGTGGAGAGTTTGAAGAAGGCAGGAGAAGTGAACAGTATAGGCCAAAATAGCTGAACTGGAAAGTGAAGTGAATTGGAGAATTTTTCCAAATCAGCTATTTTGGCCTAGATTGTTCACTCTCCCTGCCTTCTCCTAACTCTTCAAACGTTTGTTAATAACCGTGATAGTGGGTGGGGGCTTCTCAAACCTGAATGCAAAGGTGGAAATACACATCAATAGCAATAATCAAGAAGGTTAAAAATTAGATCCTTGTGCATAGACGTAATGAAAACACTACACTGCAGGTCTCAGAGACGTTTGTTAATATGTCAGTGACTGGATATTAATGATCAAAGCATTTTCTTAAAGGAAATATTAATCTTATGCATATGCATAGAGATAAAATTAATAGAAGGCAAAGTCGAAAATATTGGTTGGTCAGCAGGTCTTACATTGTGTGACAGATCCTGCATTAGACTCATTTTACAAACACAAGGAGAAGAATCTATATTTTCAGCCATGTAATTGTACGTTTAGAAATCCCACCTCTATATACATAAGCTTACGGCTTTAGGGCCCGTTCACACCAGTTGCAGTGCGTTCCGGCACGATTCTGGCCAGAATGCACTGCCTCCCATTGCGGCCTGCTCACTTTTTAGTGGGGCAGGAGGGGGCGTGGTGGGCCATTCAAGTGAAAGGCACCGTAGCCACGCCCTCCGGCCGCAATGCGATCGTCCGCACGGGATCGCAAGGCACATTGTGCCTGCGGTCTGGTCCAATGCGATCAAAATGCGGCAAGCACTATTTTGAGCGCACCGGACTGCAGGCGGTGCGATCAAACTGATTCCTCTGTACATGTTAAACAGTGTTGATGGACAAATCCAGAACTTTCCCCACCCCAGGCTATTGCATTCTGATAGCTTGCGCCCGCCGCTGGCTGAATACCTGAACCGTGACTGCAGTTATTGGTTGCAGATTTGTCAACAATTTTCAGCTCAGCTCGTTTGATAAAATACGAGTCGGCAGGGCCATCCACTGGGAATCTGCTGAAATTCTAACAGTGTTTGGCCAGCTTTAGGCTTTGACAAGCATTTTCTATTGAACATGTACTGTACATGTCTAGTCTTTCAATGATCCACAGCAGTGTAAGCATTGATAAAGACTGACCTTGACATAGGAGTGATCAATGAGAAACGATGACACGTGTCACTGAGTAACAGTTAACTTTTTATGTTGTTACCTGTTATCGTAGTGATTTAATCTCCCTTATGTCACCTCCTTCCCTGTTGGCAGAGAAGTATCTTGTAGGAAGCTAGTATAAACACCCACAATTAGCCACGAGTTTCTCTGAGCTTATATAGATACATGTTAGAGTGAAGTTTCCTCTTAAGTACAATTCTGTTCAGACAACATGGTGTCCGTCTGGAGATGGCTGCTGGCAAACAGAAAATATTTTATCATCTTTCTGACTCCGATCTTGCTTCTCCCTCTTCCTTTAGTAGTGCCAACAAAAGTAAGTACTAGTTTTATTCATGTGGATGTGTAAAATAACAGGTGCTCGGTAGTCGCTGCCAGCAAGAAGCATAGGCTACAGAGCACACATGCTTTATGTTTACTCATTTTTGGGTATAAACATTATCAGCATATAGAAAACTCAATACAGAAATACAACATTTGACGATTATGGACTTTAGCAGACGGGCATGTGCAATAAAGCTTAGGTGTACTTAGGTTATGCTAATCCACTTATATGGCAAATGTAATAATGTAAAGCAGGACAGCTGAATAGTCCATATTGTAGATTGTGTTATCTGTTAATTACTGTTTCGTCTGTATAGGCTCTTCAATTATTCAGATCATGGAGATTAGGAAATGTACACATTTTCCTTTTTGAAGAACTTTAGCTATAGCATAGCCCTCAACAGTCATTTATTTGGAGGAACTGTCCCTCTTTTGGAAGCAAATCCCGTTGTCCGTTTTTCCTTGTCAGTTGTCCATCTTTTTGGTCTTATTTTCAGACCTTTACATAAAATTAATAACATTTGTTATTTTAAAAAGCTGATATAAAATCAAAGTAATGGTAAAAAGAACACGTGGGTTTCAACTATTTTGTCTAATAATTCTCCAAGGTTCATGTTACAGGGGATTGTGGAGGGGTTGGGGGAGCTGTGGTGTTTGCCTTTTTACCATACTTTGTGCTAAAAGGTGCCACACTTTCTCATCTCAGTAAAAGTCGATTGGTGTGGATATACGAAAAAAGCAATATGAAATATTTTTTGCAGCAAATTGTAGATAATTGTAAATATCTTCACCTACTGTTACCATTGGAAACAAGAGACATTTGCCTATTTCTCTCTGGATATAGTGTATATTTCAAACTGAGGTTGTATATTTGTTTCCCTTAATTGTTATGTGGCTACATGATCTTATACATTTTAACTTGCTATGTTGCTTGAGGTATGCATTAAGGAGTATTATGTGGGTACTGTATCACTGGATTTTGGTGGTGTAAGGTAAGGATTACGCTATATGAATTGTATTGTACTTTTGTTGAGCTTTATTTGCTTTGGGCTTCATATGCGATATATATGATGGCTGTAATGTAATAGATGAAGAATTTACACTGCCTGGCTAAAAAAAAAAAAGTCACCACCTGGGTTTAGCTAAGCAATTAGGTAAGAGCCTTCCATTGGCTAAGTGTTATGATCCGGGGTTGCTTCAGTTTGTCTGTTCTAGGTTCAGCAACCTTATGTCCCCAAAAAATGAGGTCAACTGCCTACCTGAATATACTGAATGACCCTGATGGTGTGGCATATTTCAACATGACAATACCATGATTTATTGGGCTCAAATTGTGAAAGAGTGGTTTAGTGATGATGAGACATCATTTTCACACATGGTTTGGCCTCATATACAGCCTGGTAAAAAAGTGAGGCGGCCGCAATGCGATGCAGTGCGTTCCGGACAGAATCGGACCAGAACCCACTGCATATGGTCTATACATGCCCCCGCCTTCTTTGGGCTCTTCTCAGCCGCGCCGCTGTCAAACTAAGAGATGTGGCTGTGTTAGAGCGGTGACGGCAGTGTCTGGTGGGCCCTGCAGGTGGGCGACACAGCCACTTTAACACAGCCGCGTCTCCTTCCATGCGGGCTGGATAGGTCACCAGGGGGGTCAGTGATGGGCCCCCTCCTGGCCACAAGCCCTCGGTGTAGTATGGCCAGTCTGCCCCTGATCCCTTACCAATATACCAATCCAATATACTGTATATAAAAGATGGAAAGATGGAATTCCACTTAAAGGTGACTCTGCCACTATTAGGTCAGAGTAGCAAGAATACTGGAGCTCCAGAAACAAGATGCTCATTTATATTACAAACCATACCAAACCATCCTCTTCCGTCGCCGGACCCCTCCTCCTCTTCCGTCGCCGGGCCCCGCCTCCTCTTTCATCGTCGGGCCCTGTCTTCTCCTCTATCGATGGGCCCGCCTCCTCTTACATCACTGGCCCCTCCTGCTCTTAGGTCACCGGGCCCCGCCTCCTCCTTCACTGCAAACGCCAGGTCTAGTCTCTTCTGCAGCAGCTGCTGGCTGTCACTGACACAGCTCAGCAGCGGATGTGAGGAAGAACGCGGCTCATTCCTCATGACAGCCATCACCCTGATATGCCATAGCGACCCAGGCGGCCCGCACGGCATCAGAGGGATGCCCTGTGCCCGGGCCTCATAGCGGCCACCTGGGTCGCTATGGCAATTGTTACGCCACTGTTGTAGTGTGGAATATACCAGCACTCAAAAAGTGAGATCCCTGTCCCTACTCAGAAATGAACAGGCTGTTAAATAAAATAAAAAATCTACGAAAAGTAAACAGTAGCCCCCAACAACCAATCAGATATTAATATTAACCCAATCTGCCACTATAAATTATTCATTTTCTTACCAGTGCCAATGAACTGAACTAAAACGATCAAATAAAAAAAAGGAAAAAAGAGGTCTTACCAGAGGCAGATGCAGAGGTCTCACAAGGGGCAGATGTGAACACCATTCCACCAGTGGGAGGCCCGGGACCGAATCTCAGTGGGGCCCCCCAGCACGAAGTGCAGCCACACCAGCAGTAGGTCCGCCCTACATCTATACACTCCCCCCACCCTCTGGGCTCTTCTCCGCCGCGCCGATGTTAAACTAGGAGATGCGGCTGTGTTAAAGTGGTGACATCAGTGTCTGGTGGTCTGTTAAACTGGTAGCATGGTAGTGATGTGTCCTTTGCCTACACACTTTGTGCTAAAAGGTGTCTACCTGTCCCATCTTAGAAAATTGGGAGGTATGCTTTACTGGAGTACAATTTGTTTTTACTGAAGTCCTTAAATAGGTTTTTAATATCAATGGGAGTTACTTCCCCTCAACCAGATTCAAACTCACAGTAAAAGACAAAATCTGATTTGGTGGCTGTGTGGTAATAGTTCTATGTTTTAGTAAGAACAAATTGACACATGTCTGTGCCCTGATTGGAGAAACTTCTTCTCACATCCTGTCTCAGTGACCACCTTTAGTTTGGTACATGCATCTGAAAAGAACAGTATATCTGACCATTGATTGGCCCAAGCATGAGACATATTAGAAGCATGGTGACAGATTGTTGCTACTTGCAGCAGGTAACATAAAATGTATCTAAAGCCAAAACCATTTTGGTTAGAATCCTTAACAGGTTTTTATTGCTGTCTGTGTCCATTTAGGACTGAAAATGAGGGAAATAAAATGGAAATATTGCAATGTGAATATTTATTCCAGTAGCAACTGAGATTTCCCTCACTTTAGAGAGATCTTCTCTCACTTCCTGCTGTGTCTACAGGCAGGGCCGGCCTTAGGCCTTTAGGCGCCCTGTGCGAGAAAGCTTTACAGCGCCCCTCAGTGGCCACACCCTTTAGTGGCCACGCCCCCGTAACCACACCCATTTCCCCCAATATATGCACCATTTAAAGACTCCTATTTTGTTAAGCCGCAAAGAAACATATTAAAAAGTGTGATAAAAATAAAACTTTTATTCAAAGGTATTAAACTTGTAGGCACAATAGAAGTATTTTTATCAAATAAAACAACAGAAGGTAAACAATAAATGTCAAACTACAATAGAGTCTATAAAAATAAAGTGTCAGGTCGTCATGCTGACCCCTTTTTTCAAGTAAGTGCATCTAGAAAAGTAAAAATAAAAAACAGAACACAGACCCCGGGCTACATGTAAATGAAGCCAGGGGTCTGTATTGTATTCAGACACATAATAATAATAATTTGTTTGAGAATGTGCGGCGGCCATGTTGGCCACCAGCGTGTTCTCTGAATGCGTGCCACCATCGTGGAGGCAGGGAGCATGAAGCCCGGGGTCAAGAAATGTATTCAGACACATAATAATAATAATTTGTTTGAGAATGTGCGGCGGCCATGTTGGCCACCAGCGTGTTCTCTGAATGCGTGCCACCATC